GACTGGAACTCCAGGTGTGTTTTCATCCATTTCTCCATCCTCCACTTCCCAATCTGTTACTCTTGCCAATGGCTCCACATCAGCCATACGTGGTGTTGGTAATGTTGACACAAACTCATTATCCCTCCCCTCAGTTTTATATGTTCCCAAGTTTCCCTTTAACCTGATGTCTGTTAGTAAATTGACTAAGTCTCTTAATTGCTTAATAACTTTTTACCCCTCCTCTTGTGTGTTTCAGAATCTCAAGACGGGGATGAAAATTGGTTGAGGGTATGAAGCTGGTGAACTGTATTATCTTGATGGAGGTGGTTCGGCAACAGCTCTTCGGTCATCTCTCTCCCCTCATCAATGGCACTGCAGACTTGGTCATCCATCTCTTAGAGTTCTTCAGTTGCTTGTTCCGTCGTTGAGTCGTCTTTCTAATTTAAATTGTGAGTCGTGTCCGTTTGGGAAACACCATCGTGTCTCATTTAGTCCTAGAGTTGATAGTCGTACATCAAGTCCTTTTTCTTTAGTCCATTCAGACATCTGGGGTCCAAACAGAGTAGTGTCTTATAATGGTTGCAAGTACTTTGTAACTTTTGTTGATGATTATTCAATAATGACATGGCGTTATCTTATGAAAGAAAAGAGTGAATTGTTTTCTATCTTCCAAAAATTTTATGCCGAAATTCGCAATCAATTTGGTGTACATATTAAAATTCTTCGTTCTGATAATGGTCGCGAGTAAATTTCCACACCCTTGCAAGAATATTTGGAACAACAAGGCATTATCCATCACACCTCGTGTACCTACACCCCTCAACAAAATGGGGTGGCTGAAAGAAAGAACTGTCACCTTTTGGAAACTACTCGGTCCCTCTTACATCAAATGAATGTCCCCAAACCCTTTTGGAGTGATGTTGTACTTACATCTTGCTTTTTTATTAACCGCATGCCCATGTCTATCCTTGAAGGTCAGTCCCCTTTCTCTGTTCTGTTTCCCACGTTGTCTCATTCTCCCCTTATTCCCAAAGTTTTAGCTGTGTGTGTTTCATTCATAATCTTGGGCCTGGAATGGCCAAGTTAGATGCTAGATCCACTAAGTGTGTCTTTCTTGGCTATTCCAAGACTCAAAAAGGGTATAAGTGTTATAATCCTCGTTCTCAGCGTTCTTTTCTGTGTTCTAATGTTACATTTTTTGAGTTTGTTCCTTTCTTCTCCAAGTTGGATACTTCTTCTCCTCCGTTGCCATCACCCCCTCTTCCAGTTCATGTTGAGGATCTCGTTCCTCTTGTTCCAATTGTGACTCAATCTTTGCCTCCAGTGCAGCTACCTGAGAAAGGACCACCTATCCGCCAAGTGTATACACATCGTCAAGCACCGGATCCTCCCCCAGCTTCGTCACCATCGACAGATCCGACAGTTGTTCCCACCCCAGCCCCAACCCTAAGTTCTGACCTTGATCTTCCTATTGCTTTGCGAAAGGGTAAATGCAGTTGCACTCTCCACCCCATTTCCAATTATGTTTCTGTATCTCACCTTTTAGCTTCCCATCGACAGTTTGTTTCTATGTTACCCTTTGTATCTGTTCCCAAGGATGGCCAAGAAGCCCTCACTTCTCTAAGGTGGCACCAAGCAATGGAAGAAAAACTACTCTTGGCCCTAACTCGTACTTACCCGATGGGAGTGTTGAACGGTTGAAAGCTCGGTTAGTTGCCAAAGGTTATTCACAGCAGTATGGTATTGATTAAGAATGCTTGATTGGCCCTTTTTTCAGCTTGACATCAAGAATGTTTTTTTACATGGTGATCTTCTTGAGGAGGTGTACATGGAGCAACCACCAGGGTTTGCTGCCCAGGGGGAGGGTGAGAAGGCTATTTATGGGCTTAAACAATCTACCCGTGCATGGTTTGGAAGATTTAGTGAAGTAGTGAAGAAGTTTGGAATGAAACAGTGCCAGGTTGACCATTCTGTATTCAGCTATGAATCAAATGCTGGGAAGATTCTCTTGGTGGTATATGTAGATGACATTGTTATCACAGGCAGTGACAGACCAGGGATTGACAGGTTGAAGACTTACTTGCGTGATCACTTCCAAACAAAGGATCTTGGCAAATTAAGATACTTCCTAGGGATAGAGGTTGCAAGGTCCAAGAATGGTATTAATCTGTGCCAAAGGAAATATGCTCTTGATCTGCTAAAAGAAACAGGGTTGTTAGGTGTCAGACCAACTGAAACACCTATGGAACTGAATGTTAAATTGGGTAGTGATACGGGTGAGGAGTTTGAGGATCCGGGAAGGTACAGAAGGTTGGTGGGTAAGCTTAATTACCTAACCATCACTCGACCTGATATCTCATTTGCGGTCAGTGTGGTGAGTAAGTTTATGCAGAACCCTCGAATCCCACACTGGGAGGCAGTCCTAAGGATTGTGAGGTATTTGAAGGGTGCCCCAGGTCGTGGTTTGTTATATAAGAGTGGAGGAAGTCTTAAGATAGAGGATACACGGATGCTGATTGGGTCGGGTCCATATCTGACAGAAGATCCACTACAGGGTTTTGCACTTTTCTTAGTGGGAACTTAGTGACATGGAAGAGTAAGAAGCAGGCAGTGGTAGTAAGAAGCAGTGCAGAGGCTGAATATAGGGCTATGGCACAAACAACATGCGAACTAGTGTGGTTGAAGCATCTCCTAGAGGAGATGGGATATTCGATTGGCACTCCTATGAAGCTATACTGTGATAATCAAGTTGCAGTTCATATCTCCTCTAATCCAGTGTTTCATGAAAGGACGAAGCATATAGAAATGGATTGCTACTTTGTATGTGAGAAGGTGCTCAATGGAGTGATAAGTACAGCATATGTGAACACAAGAAATCAATGGGCAGATCTGTTTACCAAAGGGTTGAATCGGGGAAGAGTGGACTACATATGTAACAAGCTAGGACTATATGACATATACTCACCCGCTTGAGGGGGAGTGTTATAGTCGGTTGTACAAGGGTAGTATAGTCCTTTTATGTTTAGCTATATATGTATTGTTCAACTGATGTGGCTCTCACTTAAGTGGGGGCACAATGGTAATTCTTGTATATCTTAGAAGAGTATAAATAAAAGAAGGGCCGACTAGAGGGATTTGAATTGTTCACTCTAGTTCGGCTATGACCTTTTCTCCTTCTTCTTCTTCTCCATCTTCACTCTCTTCTTCTCCTCTTTCTTCTGATCTGAACTTATACAACATCTAGTCTGAGTTTTATCACAAGACAAAAATAAAATAGCCATGTACCATCTAAAACATCTATGCAACCACCACAGAAGGCACACCCATCCCTACTAGAGAAATGAAAGATGAAACAACCCAGCCCACAAGCCAAAGACCTCTTGAGAACATGACCCACTCAAAGAACAAGGAACGTCCACCAGCACCCTTACATACCAAAAACCTTTTTAACCACCCACTAACACCCCCTTCTCCCCCAGATAAGACCACACCTCTTCCAAACATCTCCGTCACCACAAACAAGCTCAGTAAGCCTTATCATCCGTACCTCTTTCAATCTCCAAAAATGTTTTTCTAGCAAAATCCTCCCCAGCCAAAATAAAAGGCCCAAAAGTTTGCTGACTTGGACTTCTTTTAATACCACTTCATCCAGATTAATTCTCCTCAACCAGTCTCATTTGATAAAGGATCTCCTCCCCATCTCTCTCTTGCCCCTTCAAATCTTCTTCCACCTTATCTAGGCCTTCCTTCTCCAAGACCTCCTTTTCATGATCTGGCACTGAATCCACTGATTGTACTTCAGAAGAGTCGAGTCCCCCATAACCAAAAGATCTTGATCCCTCTTAGTTGAAGACTCCTCCATCTTCCCCAAATGACCAGCATTAACCTTAGCTCTCTTATTTTTTCTCCTTTTGTTGATAGGCATTAACTTTCACCCTCTTGCACTTATAAAGTCTCTTATCTTAAATTTCTTACAAGGCCCTGCCCCTCATAACCATTCTCCCAATCCAGAAATTACAAAAAAAAAAAAAGAAAAAAACTAGACCCTGAAAAAGGTGCTTTGTCTTGGTATGAACCTCTTTTTTTTATAAGTAATAAAGTGATTTATCAAGAATTATTAATATGAGCCAACAAAAATTACATAATAGAGATCCCACAGAGAGGCACGAGATGATGCCTCAAAAAACAAAGCAAAATAACAAATGGTATGAACCTCTTCCAGTCTAGACTTAGCTGCCATACAAGTCAAAACATCGTCTAGGGAGCATAATGATTTCTCCCTCGAGGCTGCAATCAGTTTTCTTCTTTTGTGTTCTTGAACAATACTCTGATGCCAAGTTGTAAACTGTTTCTGTAATTTATAGATAAGAACAAAAAATAGAAGAAAGAGAAGAGAAAAGGTTTGGGGAGAGAATTATAGCAAGACTCCCAAATGTTATACCTTCAATTAATTCATTGCGTACAATGACAGAAACAACCCTACTAAAGTACATATTCCACTGATGTAGTCCATATTTACATCAACCATAATGAGAAAAAGGGCAGCCCAGTGCACAAGGCTCCCACCAATGCGGGGTCTGGGGAGAGAGAGATGTGTGCAGCCATACCTCTACACATACAGTGCGGCTGTTTCCAAGATTTGAACCCTGATCACCCAGGTCGCAATGGAGCAACCCAACAGTTGCACCAAGGCCCACCCTCACATTAACAATAATAAGCAAAACACTTAAATGAAGAAACAAAATAAACATACCCTGATCACCCAGGTCGCAATGGAGCAACCCAACCGTTGCACCAAGGCCCACCCTCAAATTAACAATAATAAGCAAAACACTAAAATGAAGAAACAAAATAAACATTCTTTCCTAAATTAATAATTATTATTTATGTGCTTTACTAACAATTCCAGTTACAGAAACCACAAAATTAAAGATGCAGTCAAATCAACCAGAGAAACTAGGGTAGAAAAATCGGTAACCAAATATCTAAAGAAAAGAGAAAAGGGCATACGACTGTACATTTTTCCTGAGTTTCGCACTGCCCGTTTACGGCCCTTGCTCAAATTAGAGATCTTCAAACTATCGACATAACCAAGCTCTATGTTGTCTCTATCTCTTTCCTCCTAGGAAAAAAAACCCAAAATATGCTTCACTAATAGTGAAATAAATAACAAAGATCTTATAAAAGAATATTGAAACATCATAGTATGAAATAAAACAATAATTAAGGAAATGATGGAAAAGAGAACTCACATGACAAGATTCTGTGGAAGTCATTTCCAACTCCCCAAAATTGATACTTGTGAGGTAATCACATAGAATGTCAGAAATATCAACGACCTACAAATAAAAGAAAAGAATAAGCCATCACCAACCATTTTAGAACAAACAAGTCAAAAATCAAGATGGAAGAAATCTATATTAATATCTTACTACTATTAAAAGTATTAAGAGTGTTGGAACTTTCATTTGACTAAAATATCCCTATTTTTGAATTTGGTCACTCTCTGATTGTAAGGGCAGAAAATGTAATTTTATCTACTGCTTTTACCTCATTTATTGCCCTCTCAGTAAGTCTTATATTTAAGGTAACTTCATTCTCTCTCATTGAATCTTATATTTTAAGCTATTTTTTCACCAATAAATTCTATCAATTAGATCTATAACCAATAATATAAAACCCATGTCTTTTAAAACCAACCCAAAAATAAAACCATTCTTCAATCCTCATGGCTGGTAAGCGATTCAACCATCCAGATCCAAGTCAAATGGGTCAACCCATGGTCTCATAGTTAAATGGTAAATTTTTTAAATAAAAACTACTAAAAATTACAAGCCTTAATTTATTTGGAGGGCAGCTGCCTTATGGACTCTCTAGAAGGAAAGGAATGCAAGAGTCTTCTTAGAGAAGGAAAGAAGCTTGGATGAAGTGAAGGACTGTATTTTAACAAGAGCAATCCATTGGCTGAAAAGCATGGCTATATTTGTTGATTTCTCTTTGGATGACCTGTAGAGGAAGAGGAATTGGTCAATAATAGCTAATACTTCTACTAAGAGGAAAAGAAGTTTGTTAGAATGGAATCCACCTCCAAAAGGTGTCATCAAGTTAAATTTTGATGGGAGCAGCCAAGGTAACCCTGGCCTTCGAGTATAGGGATGTTCTGAGGAATAAGGATAGCAACATCATTTCCTTATTCTCAAGACCAGAGGGAGTGGGGGACTCTACAAGGGCAGAAATACTAGCTGTTGTACAAGAGATCCAGATTGCCAACAAGCTTGGGGTGGAACATCTCCTAATTGAAGGGGATTCTCAAGTGGTAACAATGTTGGACAATTATGCCCTTAGCTCTAATCAAATTGATGCATCTTTTGACATTTATTGTAAATTAATAAAGTACATAATTTATTCATGTCATTGTGGTGTGTTTCTATGTAATACCCTTAAGCTCGACACTTATGAGACTGTTAGTTCAGAATCTTCACAACCGCTGGATAGATCTGGGGAGATTTATCCTGCCAAAGCTGACACTGATGTGCCGCCAAGTTGGTTGAGGTGGCTTGTCTCAGCTACTAGGGTGAGACTTGAGGTACATGCAATGTGGATTTTTTTGAAACTCTGAACCGGACCAAATTCCAGTATTGCCTTGGACCTTGAAGATAGATGGGCAAAACAGGAATGTTACACCTGACCCCTAGAATCGAGTATGGTACTGCACTAGGTGTCGGATTGGGCTRTCTTYGATATGCCAATCAGTGAGATCCTTAGAGGGGGTCAAAACCTGGGTATGTTGGGACAGTCCGAGAATTCATCTGAGTGGGTGATCATAGTGACAGGATCAGCCCCTTTGTCG